ATATATCAATATTGATGTAAATAAATGTTAAAATCAATGCAAAATTATTTAATTTCAGTATTTCCATCTATGAAACTAATTAACAGATAAGATTCTCACAGAATCATACATCATCATCATTTTTTATTGTTTGTGCTTACGGATTATGACAACCTAAGAAGTATATATCTGCTAAAAATTCCGGCTGTTTCATATAGCTGGTGAAAAAAAAGAAAATGTATAATAAAGAAAAGTAACGTTGTTTTTTGAAGCATAAATTCCAGCAGCGGTCAATACCTATTGAGTTTCTCCACCGTCCCGTCTACATCTACAAGTTTTGCTCTATCACATATTTTCCCTCCACTCAACTTTCACATCAGTATAACAGTATTCAGCTTGTTTATATATTCTGTTAACAACAATTCACTTCAATGCGCCTTACAAAATAATAAGAGAATTTAAGTCAATCAAATAGAGAGATTCAATGTCAGTTGCCTACTTTCTAGTAATGATACAGTGATGCTTCAAACTGGTTGAACAGTTTCCTGTCTAAGCAAACCCAGCAGATTAGACTGAGTCCCTGGATAATTGCTTGCATCGTGTCATTAACTTTGCAGCAATCCTCCATCACTAGCATACCATTTTTTGAGAAACTGAATTTTAGGCTGTCACAAGCTTACAAGTTTTAATTATAACATCAAAAAGATATAAACTATAAATATAAAATGTATCTGTATTTTATGAGTTGAAATATGGGATTTTCACTTTCTGAATCATGCAACTAATTAAACCAAATATTTGTACACATGATGTGGATTTTAATAAGTTTGAGTATGATTACAAATACCAGAAGCTTTGTGGGTTTTTAAGAGAATTATCTAACAGAATTTTATTCACAGCACAGTGACATTAAAAGTAACATAAATATGTTTTGGGTTCTATTCTTTTCCAAAATCCAGGTTTCCTCTTTATGATGCATTTCTTTGTTTTTTTTTATATATTTAAAAGTTAAAAAATACAAATAAAGTGTTGTTTTTTCAAGCAATGCAACAGCATTCTTAAGCATTCTTTGTAACTCAGTTTTCACAATTTCTGTTTCTCACTGTTACAGTATCTAACAAACCCCTTTAATCAACATTAGTTTTTATAGTAAGTATTAGCCTCTTACACCCTAAGGGGGTATACATAAATTTCTGCCTGACAAAAACACACAAAAGTAAATGACTTATAGCCTCACAGCTATTAGATTTAAGAAGAAACTTTTGGTACGTCTGTAAAGGTAAGATGTCATAGAATGGTTTTCTGGTGTCAGCACCATTGTAGCTTTGACCCTGCCTGAAATATTAGGGACAAAATACAAAATATTTTGCATTTTTTGAACCTCGCCAAAATTTTCTTTGAAATAAACATTGCAAAACACTACCAAAATATTATTTATAGCACAAAAAAGTAGTACAGACTTTTAAATCTAAATGTTGTGTAAAAATATACCAAATTTGGACTCAATCAGATGAATCATATTTATTTTAGAATGGTATTAGTGAGAAATTTCTTAGGCGGAGAGGCCATTTTGGCACATTTATCCATAAATGTCACAAAACTGTGCCAAATATGTTTTTTACATCAATACTGGGGGTTTGGTAAAATTACGAGGTCACGTGGCAGCTGGGCCCGCCGGTGGGTCCGTAGGGTTCAAGGGGTTAGTTACAACACAGATATTTAGATAAACTTTGTGATTTCTGAAGACAATTGGTTCTGGTGGATTTTATTTAGGGGTATCGTTATCTCAAGGTTGCAGATCCATGTGTGTTGTAAAATGTGAGATTCAGGCTTTTTTATTTACTTTTTATTGTCTTTTATGATAAATCCTATAGTTAAAAGTATAATAAGTCGTGTCAAAATATGATAAAGTGCAATAGGTATGAATATTTTCACAATTCACTATATATGTGCGTAAAAATCGCTTTTGATGGGGTAGTAATCAATTAGTACTAAGTGGAATTTATAATTGAAACTGAGCGTTAACTACTGGGACTCTCCTGCTGTCACTCGAGACAACCACCAGAAAATACTTCAATTGTATTTGCAGACCAGCTTAAGCCCCGCCCTTCCTCTCCTCCTATTGGTCATTTATCAGACCGAGGCTTGAATTCGCGGCTCTCTGATTGGTCCGGACAGCTTTCTGTTTTGATCGTCTGCCAGAAGCCGTCTGGAAGGGGAGGGGACCCGTCTGCCTTCCGCTTCTGGGGCTGGATTGACACACAATGAGGAGCAGAGAGGCCGGGGAGACGCTCCACCAACGCCGCTGTAAATAATTACAACAATCACAGAGGCCGGAGAAACATGGAGAACCAGGTACTGTTCGTGTCTCCTTTTGATATGTGGTATTTTTAAGAGCAAAAGGGCAGCAGGTAGCTCACTAGCGGAGGAGGGATGAATGTTCATTTCTGTCCGTGAGAAAGAGAGAGAGAGAGAGAGAAAAAAACCTCGTAGTTGTTTGGTTGTGGAGCCCAGCTAGCTGGGCACTCATACATCGGTATTTACTACTACAACACCCGCCACCGCTGCACAGCCACGTCCAGACACACAAAGACACCCCCGCTTGGTTGTTACTCTGCCCCGGTAGCTTCACAAACTCACGCAGACGGTTAAAGACTGAAACTGTCTGCTTATAATGGGACTTTGGTGTAGCTATGCTAAGCTAATTTATGTATGAGGAGTGTGTCGGCCGTTGGCTAAAGGCTAAGGAGCTGCTGCTACAAGGCGCCGGGGGGTGGGAGGGGAGGTTTGTGATTTGTCCTGCCCCAGGTTGGGCAGCTGAGGCTGGGTGTTGTCTCCGGCCTGAAATCTGAACAGAAAGGAGCTGATAGCAGCATGGATCTAACTACCCTGGACTGTGTTTGCATTGTTTCACTCAGTTTGTTCATGTTCGCTGCGTTCATAGCTGCTTTGGGCTCCTGCGCTCTGTAGAAAAGTGAGGAATCCAGGGAAAGTGTTCTTCAATGTTGGAAAAGTCTGGAAAAATAAAGTATAGCAAAGAGAAATTATGTCAATTCTGGAGTACTTGCCTTATTGTCTGAATTTTAAATGCATGCATTTATTCAGTAATAATATGCATGCACACATTAAAGCAATAATTCATCCATCCACACATGTATTTTACCTTCCAAACAGCATCTATCAAAAAAGGCTTTCTATTTTTTTCCAACCATACATCCTTTTTTATCTTTTTTTTCCCCATGTTGCATCTTTTCATAGAGCCACCCATAAATGCATCACGCTTTCAATGGATTCATCCATAAATAGACCTATTTTTCTATCTATGAATGTTTATGTTTTTTCTTTCATACATCCACAAACGTATCTATTATGCAATGCATTTATTCGTCTTTATTTGCTTGCACCTGCATAAAAATAAATTACTTCCAGTTTATTTCTCCGTCTGATTTCCTGTAGCCCTCTTTGCATAAGTTGTACCATCTACCCATTTGCAGGATTTGTTTTCATCCATATATTTAGATGATCAGCAAATTTGTGAACAATTCATTGTGATTTTTTTTCTTTTTGGTTATGTTCGAATTTGTATAATAAGGACTTGAGAACTTTAGAAATTAATGTGGCATGAGGCAAAATCTGTCAGAGGAAAGGCTTCTAAGCGGGGTTTTAGTTGAAATTTAACAATACCCAAAATGTATGTATTTAAAACGGATACTTTTATCTAACATGATACTAAAATAACTTTCAAATAATCTATATTTTAGTTAGTAAGAATTCTGTATAATTTTAAAACCCGAAAATTTTTTGGGATGATTTTTGTCCTTCAACTTTATTTAAGCTGAGCTAAACAAAAAGTCGTGAAAGAAATGTATTTTAAGGATTAAATTTTGTAGTGATGCACTGGGTCGATATTGGCCCAGATTTTGGAAAATACAGATTCAATTACAGAAAATACTGATGTGCCATCAGTCTGAACCCTGATTTTTACTTCAATTATTTTTGGGTAGAAAGTTGAAGCCGATTATTCTTTTTCATCCTCTGCTTAAGTTATAAAAATTACAACAAACATTATACAAGACTCAATCTAAAACAAAACAAAACATATCAGCAAATATAACAAGACATCAGCAATGTATAGCAAATGGAGGACAGTAGAAACGCACGCACTCGGCAAGAGACATGGTTGCTAAATGCTCTAATAAATCAGCCAATACATGCAAAACATGCCAATATCAACTGAAAATATTGGCTGGGTGACATGTATCGGTTTTTCTCTAAATAATGACCGATATTTTCTGGTGTTATATATTTCTTTACCCTTTAGACGCCTTGAAAAACTAACCATAGTTCTGCTTCAGTTAAATGCCCGCCGTCCTGAGCTGCGCCACAATCACTGACCAAACAAACATCCCATAACACTCCCCCCTACTGAAACAAAACCACCAACTACAGGGAAATAAATGTTGTTGTTAATATCAGCTTATTTTTAATCATTGCGCCATTATGATGTTCATTAAAATGATCAAAGCTAACCAACATTATTAAGGTCAATATATCTAAATCCCTGATGAATGAAAGACTATTTTAATGGTCAAACTAAATTGTACTTTCTGCATCTAAAATCTTATATTTAGTTAAATGTAATATTTTTAATGTTTTGTTGTTTTTTTGAATGGCAACAACAAGTGCAATACCTTTATAACAATAAGTGGTTCTGCTTACACTGTTCTTCAAAATGATTGTTGTCCAGAGATAAAAGGAAAAGAAGTGTTTTCAGTCTGACCGTGTCTAGCCTGAATAGGCTTGTGCTTTATGCTGCCTTCATGTGGTGTGGTAAAGACGATCCTTACCACTTGTAAAGTGGAAATTACCAGCGCACTGTGCTGAAGTGCTTTTGTTGTGGTAAAGAAGAGAAACATGTTGGATCCAAAGATTATCTTGACCTGCTCCATAGGCAGGAAGGTACAGGAGGAGACTTGCTAAAGGAAGACTCGCTAGTTCATCTGCTAACGGAAGAACATGCATTGAATGTACCAACCGATTGCTGGTGAGCATCTGATCAAATCAAACAATAATGGTCATTTTAAAAACAAGTTTAAAATCTATGTTTTTTTTTTTTTTTACTATACATGTCACAGCATTTTGTAGGCTATAGACAAACGGAAGAGAAAGCTAATCGATGCAGTATACTACATATAGAATCGTTTCACTGCTCTCCGCCATGTTGAAAGGTCAAAGTTTATCTCATGTGAGCAACTCACCGATTATAGAATTTTCCCAGCTTTCCAGTGGAAATTACGACATGAATGGGTGTTCATGTGCAATTTTTCATGTCGGCTTTTGTATTTACCATAATTATGAAACCCATGAAGGCACCATTCAAGCATGTATGAATCTCTAGCTGACCTTTAATCAGCAACAACATCCACACTTTGGAGTGTTGTCAACCGGATGCCAGTACCACGAAGCAGGATTGCTGGGATAGGAAGACAACTTCAGGTTTAACTCTGACTTTCCACTACCGCAAAGCTGGATTGCTAGTCACCGTAGAAACGTACTCTGAACAGCTCCGGGACAGGATAGCTTTCAGGATTGATCTGAATCCTAAAAAAAAAGACCCGATTTGATAAGGAGCACAAAAAAACGTAAACAAAATCACAATTAAAGAACTTGAAAATCAAACCGTATTTAAAACAAAATATTTTCTTGACAAATTAGTAGTAGTTTTTTTTTTTTTTTTTTCCTTTGCCTCCTTCTTGACATACCAACATTTTACTTTTTTTGTATTTTTCTCCTGTATAATGTCCTCTAACACTGCTGGCATTTATTTGTTTCATGTTTAATTGACATATGAAGCAAAATTAAAATCGGAACGCAAATTGTGAGAAGATCCTTCTGGATCACTATAATTACTGGTATAAGTGATAGAGTTTTTCATGGGCTGGGCTGGCATATATGCCAGATCCTGGAACAGTGTGTCGGCTGTGTGGCCCGCAGGAATGAGTTCCTCACTGTATCACACACTGGATGTATGGCCATGAGATATTATGCAACCAGCAGCTTTATGTATACTGTCAGGGATGCAGAGTCCCTTTGATTGAACACAGTCTATAAAATGATTTTATTCCATTGCAGGTGATTCATTACCTGGATTTCTGTGAGATTTCTTATTTGTCAAAGTATCAAAATCAAGTTATTAAATATACATTATAAATCAGAACATTAGTTATGCTGAAACCCTCCTAATGGGAGTTTAATGGCAAACTGCTGTAAAAAATAAAAAAAAAATAAAAAAAGTTCTGATACAGTTCAGAAATCAGGAAGATTTCCCTCAAACTGATCACTTCTTGTATTAATATGACACAATCATGGCATCAGCCTCCAGCTTTATTGTAGCCCAAATGTTATTAAAGTCCAACTAACTAGATGAAAATATGTTTCTGTGTTTTATTTTTATCTGCTCTCAAGTCCTCTTTGCTCTCCAGAGGACTTGGACTATGCAACACAGGGATGCAGTCTCTGTTAAATGACACTGATGTGTAACTTGTTCATCTACGCAGTCAGCAATCCTTTGCTACGTCATTTGGTGTCTCTTTGATGATGCCACTGTATTTGACTTTCCATTGAGACTATTTTTATCCTCTTCGTGTTTCTGTAAGATAAGTTGTTGTTTCTCACAGTTCTCACAGAAATATGGCGCACTCCCTACCCGCCCATTTATGCGTGCCGGTTCAGATTCATGATCAGTTCAATTTGTATTGAGTTAGCGAGTTGATAACCAGCTTGGTGGTACCGCTGATCCCGATTGCCATTTTTCTAAATTGGTTAAGCTTCGCCTCGTCTGTTCCTGTTTGGCTGTGACACTATCCTGGAGAGAAATATCAGCTGCACTGCTATATTACCACCTTTGTTTATAGATGTTGAACATTGGCCTGTTTTTCCGGTGTGGTCCTGTTTCTCTGACTGTGACTGACTGAATGTGCTCTCTTCGTCCTCTGACATGGAAGCTGGCTCGGAGCCCGTCTGCCTGGCTGTGTGTTTCCTGGACAGGGCCGCCTTTTACATTTGCTTTCTGTGTCTCTGCTTTTGTCTCCTTGAACCCCAGTCGGCCTCAGCAGATGGCCGCTCACACTGAGCCTGGTTCTGCTGGAGATTTCTTCCTGTTAAAAGGGAGTTTTTCCTCTCCACTGTCCCTACAAGCATGCTTAGTGTGAGGTATTGCATTAGAGTCAATGAGTCGATGCAATCAACTGGTTTTCCGTGGATAGAAAACTTTGAATCAATTTGATTGTATGATCTGGAGAACTGTAAAGTTCCTTGACATGACGTGTTGTGAATTGGCGCTATAGAAATAAATG